AGATAATTTGTAACCTCCGTCGATGTTGTCTTATCGGCTTGCGTGACCAGTAGTAATGCTTTCCTTTGCGCTTTTGTTAGCCCTGCTCAACCTGTTTTTTTGATGTTCCTTGGCAATGCAGGTGACGCGTATGCTTTAGTTGATTCACATACTGATCGGTACATAACAAGTCGGCTTTTATAGGAGATACCCTACCCGGGTTCAGTTATGGTTCTTATTTGGTAGTACTTGGGTACAACTATTCCACTCATTTCTTTAGTGTGGGTTTCAAATTTTGCTCCTCGCCCAATAGTAACACCTAACAACTTAACATTTTGGGGCAAGGTATTGTATGACCATTTATTCTAACGACTAGAGGACTTCTCATATTCGAATGTCCCTTTAACATGATAATATTGGAATGTTCAGTCAATGTTTGCTTCTGGTATCTCTTTTTCGTCGCTGTCTTTTCTTTGGTTTGACGTGCCATTGGTTTAAACCATTTAACTACGTTCACTGGATGTCTGCATGTCTTCTCTCACGTTTATGTAAAATTAGAGTAAGGTTATATTAATGTTTTTATTGAAGTTTGTTGTGCCAGTTACGTTACAGAATTTAATCATTTTTAAAATACGTCTGCTTGCATGCTCGCATTCTTTTCTGTCGTAAATTCAGAGCTATAGATTTCTGTATTCAAATTTAGGTGTGAAATGATCGTCCATCCTTTTTATTTTTTTACCCTTGAATGGTCGTCATATTTCATTGTTTAACTAATTTCAATATGTCTAGCTGTCTCCTCTCGCGTTTGCTTTTGTTGTAAAATTAAATTTCTATGTTTCTGGATTTACAAGTGGAATGATTTTGCTATCTTGTCTGCCTCTAAAATAGGTTGGTGTGCCTGTTATGATACATCATTTCATCATGTTCAATGGATGTCTGTATGTCTCTTGAATTCTATTCTGTTGTAAAATTTAATATTTTGCTTTCTGTTTAGAAATGTATATCTATGGACATGTTGTCTCTTCTTTGGTATGTTCAGCCAGTCGTTCACCATCTTTAGTGGATGTCTGTCTGTCGTCTCTCGCGTTTATCGCTATTGTAAAATTAGGTTAAAGGTTAAATGTCCAGATTTCTCTGTACAAATTTTGATGTAAAATGATCTCTGACCATCCAAATCTGTCTCTCCTCTGGTTTGGTGAGCCAGTCGCCTTTTTTAGTTTACCAGTAAACCATGTTCAGTGGATATCTCTCTGTGGCCTCTCGCGTTCGTTCATGTTGTAAAATTAGATTAAGATTTCATTTCTTTATACTTACCCATTTACACTGTCTCTGCCTCTCGTCATTTGTGGTAGTTTCCATTCTATAATCTGACCAAGCTTAGGTTCAATAGACTAATTTATTAGCAGATTGATCAGTAATGAACATTCTTGCTGGTTTGGTCGGTTTAGATTAAAATTGACAAATGGAAACAAATGCGATTTCTTTCATTTGATATGTTTAACTTTAAAATTAGCAAATTTCTTTATGACAAAACTATCCAGGTAGCATATACTTTTCTTCAATTTTTAAACATTATATCCATTAAGTATTAATCCATTTATGTTTAGTGGCTAATTGTTCAAATTACTTTTTTCAATTAATTATTCTCTTTATGTAAGATCTTGGTCGCGATAGCTCGTGGTTAGAGAACCAAGACTTTACATAAAAAGAATAATTAATTGAAATAATTATATCCTTTGTTGTGCTATCCATTTCTTCCCATTAATAAAGTGCTTATTGTTTATAATGTTTCCACAATTTGTGATATGAAGTATGAAAAGGAGACATTTTAAGTTAGAGTATGGAACATTTTAAAGTTCTACAGATATATAATTTTTATGCAGAAATACATGGTAGATGTAATGGAACTGAAAAAGATGATTTCATTTGAAACGTAATTAAAGCAAAAATATTTAAAAAATTATTTATCCGTCTTTTAAATTATGAAGACGATATAATCTGCAATGGCTTTTATATGCAGAGAGCTGAAATACGTCTCAAAGAACACGAAACAAGACTGAAAAATTAATTGACGATGTAGTCGGTTAAAGAAGATGGAACTCGTTAAAAACACGACATTAACTTACAAACCGACCATACAAGAAAAACAGACGTTCAGTCGTTTCATTAACTGTTAATTTTCGAAGACTCAGTGATAATCCAACGCTGGAAACGCTTTTCTGTTAAATGGTTCGTACAGACGGCGATAAGAAAAAAGTCGGCTAGCATTAAAACGGCTCAGCGACCGGACGGCCGGCGGCAATTGGGCCCTGTTCAACTCCCTTTCAAACCCGGGGCTGGTCCATTTTTAATTTTCACTTTCCGGTCTATCGTACCGCGGTTTGGCTGATGATTGCTTTGAACTCCAGTGCCGATAAATGGGACGGATGGAATATTCGACGCCGCCTCAAACCAGCAACGTGAGTGAAAAATTAAGGGAAGCGGTTAGGAATGACAATTATTGAGATCATTTCAAAAAAGAGAATCAATGTGATTAAAAATATATTTCTTTGACATATAAACTGCTCAAAAAATGAATAGGGACATTGCCAATTTTGTAGTATTAACTTGCCCTAGAATTTTTATTTTATTTTATCATAAATTGCATTAAAATTTATTATAAATTATTGTTTTTACTGAGAGAAAATTTAATTAATTAAGGTATTTTGAAAAATAAAAGGCCGGATTGTGTACCTAACTGAGGATTGGCCACACGCGGTTGACACGGGCAACTGCTTTGTGGCCAAAGACCGCGCAGGTGCCCCTTGTGCAGAGAGAGGTTGCTCGATGTGTCCCACATAATAGAGGCGTATCATGCCTTGGCTCCGCAGAGAGAGCGTGTAGGCTTGCCGCCGGATTTAAGAATGGATCTCGGACAAGGGTCCCCTGCAACGCTTGTTAGGGGAACTGGTAATTTTTTTGTATATAGTCTTCAAAATATGTGTTTTGTATTTTTTTTTTGTTTTGCATATGTGAGTGTATTTATTAGAATGAATGGGGAGGGCTGATGATGAAATAACATCCCCATCGCCCCTTAAGCTGTGAACGTGACTTGGGTCGATGGCGGAATATTTATAAAAGTACCCCATCGACCCCAATTAGATAAATTTGTTATTGTATGCAGATCGATAGAGGAACAATGAGTACTCCGTCTGTCAAATAGAATGAATGCAATGTATATGGGTGTGATTGTATTTATATGTGTGAACACATATTGAGTGTGTTGTAATATTTCGCATGCGATCGGGGCTGAAATATCCAAGCCCCTTTAATAAAAGTCTTATGTTAGCTAAAACCTCTGTGTAGCTTTTAGGCATACTGTTAATTTCAAGCAATTTATGGATTTGGATTTAGCTTGGGTTGGTGATAGAAAAGCCTTCTCTGCAACACAGCCCACATGTGCTCAATGGGATTGAAGTCTGAAAACAATGGGGAAGGGGCAGATGGGAAATTTCCAGGTTTTCTAAATATTGATGAACAACTCTGCTTCTATGAGGTCTGACATTGTCATCCAAATAATTTGAGTGATGGATTCGATAATTTCTTGGACATAACGGATTGCGGTGAAGATGCCTTCAACAATATGGAGCCAACTTGGTCCTCCAGTGTAAATCCCAGTCCAGACACCGCCTCCTCCAAACTGCACCGATGGGAGCACGAACTGAGCCATTGTACGCATCCACTGTTCTCGGTAGACCCTTTCGGTGCCTGCTTTCACCTAAAACGCGACTCATCAGTAAACATAACAGCATTCCATTGGTGTTCTCTTTTAGACGCTCGCTGCACCTATCCTTCTGAGTTGCTGGTGGCAGGCTTTTGCTGCGTCTCAAAGGGGCATACTTGGCCAATTTCCCACAAACTATTACGAATCATTTGTATTGATAAATGCCTGCCGAAGCATCTTGCAATTCATTTAGAATCTGGCGGGCCCTATGAAAATAGTTGCAGTCTTGCATTGTCTTGCAGTAAAGACAATATTTCTGTCCTCCCTTAACGCTGAGATCCACTACCAGCTAAAGCCCGCGAGACAATGTTCTGAGAAACGCTACCTACCTCTGCGATTCCTTGGCGGCGACCTCGATGACCATTCTCACAATAATATTGCAAACTTTTGATTCCAGATGATCTTTTCATGGTTAAAGAGGATACAAGTTGATTCAAATGGTGAAAAGTTGAGAAAAGGTGTTTGTTGACAAAATGAATCATCTTCATGTTTACTATTCTTAAGTAAACTCTTTATTAAAAATGAAGATAAACATTTGTTTGTTTTTGGTTGTTATTTTCTATTCTGTTTTATCTAACTTTATCCAACAAATAAGAATGTATCGATTAGTTTGATTAAAGCTAATAGAATAAGAATAAATTACAAATATTCCTATTCATTTTTGAGCAGTTTATTTTCTTACAACTTACTTAAAATAATTGTGAGATGTAAACAGTGAATACACAACACTTGAGTTCCATCGTAATGAATAAACATATGTTTAACCCCGCATCAGTCAATTAATGATTGTAGCATACCGATCCGTTGGAAAAACGGATGGAATATCTTCACGAATGTACAGGTTTTTACTTTAATGTCAATAAAGCTTTTGCCACCTGCCGAGGGTTGTGCTTTGCGTTCAGATAATAGTGACCACCCTCGCAAAAAGCCTTTGTGCCGACTAAAAACAGATACAAACACCTTGTTTAAATGTAACAAAACACATTGAAACAATTTTGAACTTAATAATATAAGGTATCAGCATGAATCAGAGTAGGATTGTTGTTGAAATTAATAAATTCAACGTTTAAATTCTTGACACTATTCAAATTTATATTTTTGAAGTGGGTAAATTTGATTTATTAACAGGAAATATTTAATTATTAGCTGTGTTTGACTTAACACTGGAAGTTCTTGATAAAGTACAATTAGTCAAAAGAGTCTGAAATTCTAAACTTGACTGTCAATCTCTTTAAAATGTCTGTATTACTTTTTTCAGGATGTTCAGGGAATCCGGATGCGAAGCGGCTGTACGACGATCTTCTCTCGAACTACAACAAGCTCGTCCGCCCTGTTATCAACGTCACAGATGCGCTCACTGTCAAGATCAAGCTGAAACTTTCTCAGCTGATAGATGTCGTAAGTAAATTTTGTTTTTGAACTTTCCCAGTAGGGGAACGGTCTAAATTAACAGATTTCCTTTGATTATCTACTCAAAATCGGTGATTTTTTTTTGCAAAAAGAATGATTTTTAGATCTGTTAAATGAGTACCTGCAGCTTGATCGTTTCTGGTTATCGTGTACTGTCAGCAGCGTTTTGGATGTTTGTTATTTTCCGATTTAGTGAACCCTTACCTTTCGGACAACACGGAAAAACACCGCAAAATAGTGCTGTGCCTCGGAATTGAAACGTCTCGTGGGAGCCTTCAATTTTTATGGAAAATGCGTTACGCATGTGACAGGCCGCGTTAAGGAAGGCTATATAAAAATATATAAAACGAAAAACATTCATGTGAGAAAGAGAAAAAAGAGAGAGAAAAAGGGGACGAAAGGGAAAAAAGAGAAAGATAGAGAGAGAGAGAGAGAGAAAAAGAAAGTGAATGAAAGTCCGACAAAGACAAAGAATGAGAGTCAGTGAGATAGATAGCTAGATAGACGGATATATCGATAGCTATATAAATGGATAGATATATAAATAGATAGAGGAAGAGAAAGAGAGAGTGAGAGTGAGAGAGAGAAAGAGAGAGTGAGAGAGAGAAAGCGAGAGTGAGATAGAGAGAAAAAGAGCGAGAGAAAGAGAGAGTGAGTGAGTGAGAGAGAGAGAAAGAGAAAGAGAGAAAAAAAAAGGGCGAGTGCACATGGTGTTAAGTAACTCTAAATGTCAAACTTGAACTGATACGTAAAGGTAAAACAATGGAAACCAGGAGAAGGTAAAAGAAAAAATTAATTATTGCATACACATATAAAATGGTTGTATTAAATATAAAAATAAAGATTAATTTTATATCAAGGTTTCCAACGTTGAAATTTTAATCTTAAGAATAAATTATTATAAAGGAATATTTGATAGCCTTTCATAAGTTTATTTAGTAAGGGATAAAGAGACATTGTAATAAGCCACCTGCTATAAGCAGCGTTAGGGATTGTGAACTCTAATAACATTTTTTTTCTCTTTATTCGGACGGTATTTGCCGCAGTGCCCGTAAGCCTTATTTGATCCTTTTTAATTATATAATGAACCAGCGGAAAAAGACAATAAAACCTCCTGGAATAGACAGGTTCTTTTGTAAAAAATTTCCCTTTCATAAACAATTCTTCGTGTGTAACGAAATTCTATTACTTAAAAGTCAATAAATAACCGGCGCTCCTTTGGTAATGAGGGTTTCTAGAACAAAGTGGCGAGATTAGGAAAAAATCCGAATATGAATGAAATATTAATTGACCGCCGATCAATAGAGTATAAAATTTTATTCTGTATTGCTGCTACACTGCCTTTAAAAAAACATAAAACATGACTATTAAACATTTTTTGCGCAATCAATAAAAAAGTGTGTGTGTGTGTGTGTGTGTGAGAGAGAGAGAGAGAGAGAGAGAGAGAGAGAGAGAGAGAGAGAGAGAGAGAGAGGGACGGAGAGAGAAAGTGAATGCTATTTTTCTTTTAACATACAACAATGATTTTTCTGGTAAAAACGGCGTTCCCGTTATACCGTTCCGCAATACACACCTGAATTCCTGCATGGTATAACTTAGCGCCGTATTTCTTTATTCACGCAACTTTCTTTCATGTAGGTTAACTAAAGTGGATAATTAAATAAATAAATTTTATACCACATACTTAATATATATTAATCATGCATGTGAGTGAAAGTTATTAGTTGTCTGCTGTTCGATTGAAACAGATATCCGGCCGATTTTATTTTATGTTCTTGTGCTGTTACTCTAGCACTAAAAATTTTAAAACTTGACTGTTATACATCTTTTTGTAAAAGCTATTAATGTACAACTACCTACATGCCAATCTATTCATTTACAAAAAATAATTGAAACTTAATGTAAATTTTATGAATATTAAATAATGCACATTAAATTATAATAATTGCTTTAATCTCATAAAGGTTTGTAATGTTGTTTTATACCATTTTAACGATTATGATGCTAAAATAACATTAACAAAACAAAACATTTTATGAGAGTTAATGTTAGTAAGTTCTAAAATTTCATTACATAATTTTCCACCTGGATATTCAGTTCTACCTCCTTTTTATTGTGATTAGCTTTTAAATAATAACAGTAAAAATATTTACAACAAAAGCATATTGTGAAAAATGTATTTATAATTAATATTAACGACTACTGTGTGTGTAACAAACACTCTGTCAAAAATTTATGTCCGGTTTATTTGAGAATTGTGTCGTTTTGACACAATCACCGATGCGGATTATGTGTTGGAGGCCATAAACAAGCCTTTCCTAGAGTTTTCAATGTTTGTTTTTATCCTTGAGCAACATAACGTAGTGCTGCCGTCAAGCATTAAAGAAAACGTGTAAACCCCCATTCTTTGCTCGTTGCAAATTTTATTTACCCCCTTCATTCCAAATATTGATAAATCCTTACGGCCTGCTGTAAATTGTTTGACAGTGGGATTCGTGCAGGTATGTTTATATTTTCTTCCCAACAAAACAAGAAATGAATTTATGGAGGGGATTTACAAAGGGCTACGAAAAACATACTATAATTCAACTATACAAAATTTTGAAGTGGTTAATAATATAAAACAATTACTCAAATATTGTAGTTGACTGCTTTCACCATCTCAGTTTATTGAGACAACAGCATAATAAAAGGAGGTTGATGTGTGAATTAACCCATATAAATTGTCATGTCTAATTAATTATAATTAGGTCTTTTAAGTCGTAATGTAATTAGGTGACAATGACATTGATTCGATATGACATTTTGTTCAAATTGTCATCTTAATCTGTAAAATTAGAAACGTAGTTCGGCGAATTCAAATAAATAAAACAGTCTAATGTCACTTAAATTTAGGCCATTTATCAATCGTATATTCGAAATTTGATCAAATTCCGTGACATATTACAGATTATTGCATTTTTTATAAACCATGATTTATCCATGAAAATTATGAACTTTAAAAGTGAAATTGATTTAAAAAAATACATAAAATAAAATTATCAGTGAGAAAAAGTGAGTGCTATTTTTTAGAGAAACTACCAAACGAGATCCCTTCAACTGTCTCACAGCGAATACGACACAAACCTTGACTTGTTTAGTAGGAGCATATCAATAATGAACAAACTAATAATATTGTGACTGAAGTGCGTGTATATATCTGTGTGTGTGCGTGAGAGAGAGAGAGAGAGAGAGAGAGAGAGAGAGAGAGAGAGAGAGAAAAGTTCTATGCTGGTACTGCTTAGTGAGCAATAAAATGGACTTTCGGGCGGTAAACATATTGGTTCTTCTATCTTTATTAATCCTAAGTTGGTCAAATCAGGACAAAAAGTTAACTGGTGTTTGTTGATTTTGTGAGCGTGTAGGACTATAGGACACTTTTCTTTAAATTGGGTAACGCAGGGTTCACACAAAAGTCTTAACCATTCTAAATTCTGCTTTTGGAGGCTGAGCCGGGTGGGAGAGGGCGAACGTATCAGAAAGTAAATGTACAGTAATACAGGGATGTGGCTTTAACCCATTTTTATTTTACCTATTTCAGTATGACTTTTCTCTTCTTCAAAATAAAGGATTATAAAATTAATGTACAATTAAAATAATTAATAATAATCATAATATATCATGAAATAATTAATTAATTTAATTAATGTAATGACAGCGAGAGATTCATAATGGCCGATTTTCATCACAGACTAGAGTAAAATGTTAACTTTCTTGAAGTACTCCGTCTATTGTAATATATTGGTCGATTTTAAAATCATAAATCATGATTTTTGAAATCGGCGGTAGACTAAATTCCTACGATCGTTTTGTATTTGTTACTAAAAAATAATATAAAGGTTCTAAAAGAATATATAATGTAGGTGTCACTCTTATTTATTATCTATGTGTGACCAAGTCAAAAAGTCAAAAAGCATCGACACTACCAAAGTAGTCCTAGTTAACTAAATAAACATTGTAGTCTCATATATCTCAGGGAATTGACGCTATAAATGTGAAGCATAGTATATTTACCTATTTACCTATTTACCTCAGTGTGCAGATCACTTTTGTGTATCTGTGGGGGAGAGAAAGAGAAAGAGGGAAAGGCAGAGAGAGAGAGAGAGAGAGAGAGAGAGAGAGAGAGAGAGAGAGAGAGANATGGTGTAAACTAAATACAACAATTTTTTTTATATAGATCACTTTATGTTTTTAGTTGATAGAAGATAGAAAATACAAGATAAATTTATTCATTTTGTAAAACTTAAGTAAATACTTAGCTTTTCAGAGAGAGAGAGAGAGAGAAAGAGAGAGAAAGAAAGTAAGATTGACCAAAAAACAACCATACATTGGTTAATTCCGAATAAAATGATTTACTACTGGAGTGACCAGATTCCGTCAGATACGACATCCTCCGTAAGATTGAGCGAGATTGGCAAGGGGCTGAAGATCCGTGGGCGGTCCTTGAGAGCCGGAACTCAGCAGGGACATCAGCGATGAGTGGAAAAACAGGCGACGCTCCATCTTGGACGCTTCGGAGGAAAAAAGATTTAATTTTGTGTGTTTTTGTTTATTTCTTTGGGACTTCTTGCCGTTGTGGAGCGGAGAATTCACGTTTTCGAGGGGGCAAACGATAGGAAAAGACCAGGACGATGTTCGGACATTTATTTTATTTCACGCGATTGTGTTTTTCAAAGAGAGCTTGTTTTGTTATCTTTTTTTTATGTTTTTTCAGCAATACAGAGGACATTGTTATTTTATTGTTGTGTTCCTGAAGTGAAAAAAAACCAGTGTGACGCCAATTTTTTTTAAAGAAACATCCACACGACCACGGGAAAACCGGGTCGATTGTCAACGGTCCGATGAAGAACAGGTAATACAGTGAAGGTGTCATCCTGCCTCTGGCGAGGCATAGGAATAGAAAAGCAGACATTTTCTACTTTTTTTAACTGTTGACCATTCATTAAACG